ACTTTTAGGGTCAGCTTATAAACTTCTCAAAAGATAGCCATTGGGATTTTGGTGGAGATTGAATTAACCTATAGATGAATTTGAAAAATGTTGTCTTCTTAGTATCAACCCATAAATATAGATGTCTTTCATCTATTTTGGGTTCTTTAAGTTTCTTTCAGTGATTTTGTGTCAGTGTACCATTTTGTTGAATTTATTTCTAAGTATTTTAGTTTTCTGATGCTAGTATGAAGAATTGTTTCTTCATTATATTTTCAGATTGTTCATTGCTAATGTATAGCTAGCAATTATTTCTAAGGAGCCTTTGATTAATATCTGGTTTCCATTGCAAACTGAGTTAAGAAAATACCTTTCAACATTTTAAACTGCCTTTAATAAACACATTTTCCTACTAAAGATGTTAATGATCTCAAATAAAGTTACTTTGAGTCTTTATTTATTTATTTTTTGGTACAGGGTCTCACTGTGTAGTTCAGGCTGGTCTTGAACTCACTATGTAGCCTAGGCTGGCCTCAAACTTGCAGTAATCCTCCTGCCTCAGCTTCCTGAGTGCTGAGATTACAGGCATGCATAACTAGCGCCCAGCGATTTTGAGTCTTTTAAGTGAGTCTCCATATCTAATAAGGTGAATTTGAAATTTGATAACTTTTCATCTTTTTAAATGTTCCCACATTGTTTATGAACTTAGATTTCAGCCTGCGTGTGTGCACATGTGCCTGCCTGCCTGTGTGTGTAACTCAGTGTGTGAGTGTATGTGTGAGCTGTGCAGGTTGTCATTTCCAAAAGGAAATTTGACTGCCCTGGATTTGTACTTTTTTGGCATGAAAGAATTTACAGCAACATCAGTGAAGTTGTTATATGAAGTTATAGCTCTAGCAGGTCACCACTGACAAAGAAAGAGTTCCCTTGTGTAAACCTGGGCTCTTCTAAGAAACACCGGATTCTGTGCAGTGAAGGTAAAGCAGAGTGGACCAGGGTCAGATGCCAGGACAGGGACCATGCGATGGGCTCGGGGATCAGCTCAGAGGTGAGGCTGCAGCCGTGGTGGCCGGGATGCGTGTCCTCTTAGCACTTGCTCGGCTTCTCTCCTCCCCAGTTTGTCTCTTCTGCTGTCTACGAGCTTTTCAGATGCAGAGACCATTTCTTACCCATCCTGCCCTCCAGTGGCCATGGTCAGCCTGGCACAGAGCAGGTGCCCAGCAGCTGTCTGTCACAGAGTAACCGAGACTGGGCCTAGCTCTTGACTCAGTGGTTATTTCCTCCTTAGGTTCCAAACTCTCCTCACTCTGTGCCTTCACATTTAAGTAACCTTGAACAGCAAGGCTCGGGGCCTCCTCAGGGACATGGGCTCTAGGCGGGGCGGGAGAGGCAAGTGTCACCTGAACCCTGCCTCACACGCCCTCTTGTGGAACCCTGATGGGTAAAGGAGGAAATGTCCACATGAGGGCTGGGGTCCTCCGGGGGAGGTGCTCTGAGAACATCAGCTACTGCAGTCACCCTGAGCCAGGCTGGGTGTCACCCAGCAGCAGAGCATGTGCTCAGCATGTGTGAGGTCCTGGGTTCAATCCTTAGCACCCCCAAAGTTATTACTGAGCCTAATAAGAAGAATAACCATCTCCACATGCACTATGAAGCCGAATCCAAAATGACAATTATTAATGAATTCTCAGGGGATTCAAAGTACACAGATTCCTGAGAAAGACCCAGGACCCACACAGGCTCTGGTGAACTCACCACAGTGTTGCCCTCTCAGCGTAGCTAGTGCAGGCACAGGGAGCTGCCACTTCCTGTTTTACCACCTCCCAAGAGCTCCTGGGGCTGCCTGAGTGTTATAGCCTCAGCTGTTACCTGGGAACCCACGCTGGCAGTGGGCAGTCCCAACCCCCTGCTGTGCAGTTGCTTCTGTGGCCCACCTTCCCCTTCCCTGGCCCCTTCTCTAGGCCTTGCGGGCTATCTTTGTGTGCCCATGGGTCCACAGAGAGGTAAACTGAAGTACAGAGAGAAGTTACAGACTCAAGCTTGCTAGTGGTAGTCCTCCCTGGAGTGTCTCCTCCTGGGGTCCAGCAGCAGAACTTCCTGGGCAAAGGAGGCTGAAGGGAGCATCAACACCCCATGCAGGGACTGAGAGGTGCCACGAGTGTTTCCGGAAACCTGGCACAGACAAGACAGCATGGGATTAGGAAGCACGTGGGATTTCAACCATGTGTGGACACCTGTCATTCTGCTCTAAAGCCCTGTGACCCAGGTCCTCCTGTGCCTGCCCTCAGCACCCCCGGAGTCACCAGCCTGAGCTCCAGTCCTGCTCAGGCGCAGGCTTGTTCATCCAGGGCCCAGGAGGCTGTGGGCACCTGGGGTGACCAAGCATGAAGAGTTGGGGACATGAGTGTCCAGACAGAAGCCCTTCTGTCCTGTAACAGGGAATGGCAGAGGGGCCCAAGGTACACAGTTCCTTTCCTTCTGCACTGACCCAACCTGCTATGTGTGCCAAGGTCTCCCTGCCTCAGTTTCTCCTTGAGGCAGTAGGCAAAGCTCTGAGGACTGGCAGCACCCTTGTGTCACCCTGTGACGGGCATGAGTAGCTTTCTCCGGTAGCATCCCCAAAGCCCTGGCTGGGGTCTGCCTCCTACCTGAGACCTGCCGACCCTTTCTCACACAAGTGGAATCACCCACGTCCTCGTGGCACTCTTGGGAACTGGGCTCACCTGGATTTACTCTGATTTCAGCATCAGTTCCTGCCAAAAGAGTCTTAACAGTATTTGGGAGGCTGAGACAGGAAGATTACAAGTTTGAACTCAGCCTGGGGAACTTAGTAAAACCCTGTCTCAAAATAAAATTTTAAAAGGGGCTGCAGATGTAGCTCAGCACTTGCCTAACATGCACAAGGCCCCAGGTTGAATCCCCAATAAGGGGCGGGCTGAGGGTGCAATTTAAGTCTGAAGGAGAAACAGCTCCATAATCTTAATGGTGACAGGACTGTGTCCTCTCATTGCTGGGGTCCTGGTCAGCTCTGCTGATACAAGTCAGGAATGGTGACACTTCAGAGGCTTTCCCATCTCCAGCAGACACATGCACACATGTACCTTGGCATCTTGGCATAACCCTGTGTCTTTGTCATCTGCGCCTCCTGGATGACAAAGGATGCTCCAGGATGTCATCTGATGCTCCAGGACCCGGAGCTTGACAGCAGGCTTCACTTCTCATGGTTCTGGAGGCCGGGAGTCCCAGGCCAAGGTGATGCTCCTGGCTTCCAGAAGGTCACCTTCTTGCTGTCTCCGGGGTGACAGGGAGAGAGAGAGAGCTCTTTGGTGTCCTTTGCTTTTCTTATAAGGCACCACCCTGTTAGGTTAGTCCCCCACCACTATGACCTTATTAAACTTTAAGTAGCTCCTAAAAACCCTACCTCCAAATACAGTCCCCTTGAGGGTTAGAGCCGTGAATTTGGGGGCATGGGCATGAGTCAGTCCAGAGCTCCCTCCTTGACCTACCTTGCTCTTGCTACCTGACATTTCTAATCCTTCTCACAACTACACCTTCACCAACTTCACCAAACGTCATGGAGCAGATGGGATCAGAGCCAGTTCTTGGGTCCAGAGACAGAAAAGAGAGGGGACCCAGAGGAAATATTGGCAGAGGCAGGACTTATTGGGGATTTCTGTTTGTAACAGAAGGGAGCATCAGCTCTAACAAAGGGCAGGCCAGGCCAGTGTGCCCCCAAAGGAAAGGGGTAGCTAGCTAATATAGGAAAGGTTCCTGCTTCAAGTTCCTATCTGGCTCTTCCATGCAAATAAGGGTTTCAAGGGTGCACAGAGCGCTTGTCCTGATTGGTCAGTCCTGAGCCAATGGCAGGCAGCTCACTGGTCAGCCTTGACTACAGTGAACAGCAGGTTTCGGGAGGCTGAGATTCCCTGCTCTTGTCCTAGTTGTGTGGGATGCATTTGTAGCTGCTGTAGTTTTAACTCCAGGTTTGAATGTGAGCCCTTTTATGTCCTTGTTTGATTGCTGTCTAGTTTTTACTGAGCTTTGCTTCACTTCATATTCCTAATCGGAGGTTAGTGACAGATTCTGGGTCAGGAAAAAGGGGCCAACAGCCAGTCCATGGAGGCATTTTCTAGTCCTGTTGCTGGTACTGGAGGTTAGAATGTTATTTTCAAATTTTAACATGTTTTTCCATCTTTTAAAGCTGGTTCCCTGGTTACTGTTCCAAAGACCTCTGGCTGTACTGGATGAAACTGCGGACCAAACCTGCAGGCAGCTTGGTTAGCACAAGGCATCAGGGTACAGCTGGCAGGATCCTGCTTCCGACCCCACAGTGTCCAGTGTCCCCAGTACTCAGCACACCCCATGGCCTCTGGAGGTGCCGTGGGATGTCTCAGTCTATGTTTCCCCTAAAAGTGAACTGTGGGAGGAGCAGGATCCTGGGAGCCCAGGGGGAAAGAGTGGGGTGCAGAGCAGGAGGAGTGGGAACCTAGTAAGACCTACCCCCTCCAGCTGGAGGCCTTGGGGTTTCTTTTGAGGAGCTGGGACACCTGCAGCAAGAGGTGCAGGACAGCACTGTGCAACTGTGGGTGAATCTGGGAGGCCTGGGGCCCTGGGCTGAGTTCCTGTGCAGTGGACCTGGCTGGGGTTTCTTGGGAACAGGACAGGCCTTGAAGAGCAGGGGAGGGAAGAAAAGGTAGGAACGTGAAGCTGTCATGCAAGTTTTCCCTTCTCCCCCTGCAGTCTCTTCACTGTAACCATGCCTGCTACAACCCCGACTTTTCCTAAGGTGCCGGAGCTTGGTTTCTGGATGTTGCACCCAAACAGTTCTTCTTGAAGTGGAGACAAACTCCAGCTCCCTGGGCTGCCACTCGAGCAGCTTCTGCCCACGGGGAACCTGGATGTCAAGACTCCAGATTCTCTGAGGGGTTGTTGGTGTTGGAGACATGGCTGACTGGACCCAAGATATGATGGCCAGGCCCAGCTGGCTGCAAGATGAAAGCAACCAACTCAGTACTTCTTACTCTAAAAACAGGTTTTATTTGTGTGTGGCCACTCAGTAAATATTGAACAGTGACCATCCCAGACAGCCGCCAGGTACAAAAAGAGCAATGAATGGTGGCTTTTAGGGCTATCAGGACAACTAGAAAATGACAGTAAATGATAGCAAAGCCAGAGTTTTCTCTTTGGTGACTTCTATACCCCCAAACAATGAAAAAAAGTTGATACAAAACAGTAAGCTCCACCATCAGTAATTATTACCCTTTCACATAATAATTTATTTCATTTCCAAGTGATAGCAGGTACAAGCAGTTTCCAGGAGTGCCCCCTCACCTGTTGGGTCAGGAGACCTGGCCCCGAGGCCCACCAGACCCCTGCCCAGGTAGTGAAATGCCAGAGAGCACAGCTTTCCTTGGAGAAACATTTCCTTTTAAACCAAGCACCTTCATTTGGCATTTCTGTGTGTGCTGTGCCAGACTCTTCTTGGAGAATAGCTCCAAGATGCAAATACCTTTCCAGGTAGAGGTTCTGGCAGCCCTGGGAGGGCCTGGCCCCACCCAGAGGGTACCAAGGGGAGCAGGTGACCTGGCAGATCCCTGGGAGGTGGTCCTGTCCCACCCCTGAGATGATAGGGTAGTTGTCACTTCCCTTGTGCCTCTGGCAGGGGGCCAGAGGAGAATCCATGGATGTGACTCCCCCCTCCTTCAGGGAGAGTCCTTCTGAGGGATAAGGCAGCTTCTAGTCCTTAGGAGGTGAGTCATGGTGGCCTGGAGCAGGCGCACTAGGCCAGGAAGTTCTCTGAGGGTTTGGCTTGGGGATCGGCAGGCTATGCCTCCCACCCACATCCCCAGGTCTTATTATACAATGATTTTAGAGCCAATTGCTTATTTTCCCCACAAATTTCTCCTCTCAGTTGGTTCTAAGTCAATTTTTCCTTGGCTTCCAATGCTGTGGGTGGAGAGAAGGGAGGGAAAATGGAGCCCTTGTCCCCAGGGCAGGAGAGGAGACAGGTCTGGACCAGGTTCTAGGGCAGAGGCCTGAAAGGAACAGGCCTATGCAAGGAGGCTTATTTGAGAGACTGCAAGGGGCCTTTCTGATTTTAAGAAAGTAAGACTGAATATCCCCAAATATATGGAGGGCTCACTGCTGTGGCAGAATCCCCAACAGGTATGATGGCAGTGGGGCTGGGATTCTCAGCCGTGAGGGCTTCCAAATTAATTTTCTAGAGGAGCTGGGTTCATGGTCAGATCATGGTCCGCTTCCTCGTATTATTGTGGGTGAAAGTGTCCAGGGAAATGTGCCAGAGGGCTCTTGTTGTTCATCCTGAAGGACAGACTGTTAACACCATGCACGCTTTGGTAGTTCATCCGTTTATCATCCATGTGGCAAGTGTTGAACCCGGGCTTTCCGGGAGCATTTCTCACTGGGCACGGCCAGATGCTTCAGTGGTAATAGATGCTGAAGGCATGCAGAATGTAGAGCAGGGTGGTGATGAAGGCAAAGAACTAGAAGAAGATGAGAGCATCAGAAAGGGGCAACTCCAGTGCCCCCAACTCCCAAGGACCTCTGTGTCCCAGGAGGCCATGGTCCTGACCCTGCCTCAGTGTCCCCTGCCTGGACTGAGGGTGCAACCACTGGTCAGTTACTCCATCCTCTGGGGAACCCTACCTCCCCAGTGTCCCCAGGGTCATCTTGTCTTGGGACCCTGGACCACATGGTCTCCATCTCCACCTGCGCACGGGTCCACCTGCACCCTTCCAGGCAGCACACCTGGGCTCTGACTCCCTCGGTACACTGTCGGCCCAGGACTGCCTTGAGGACCTGCTTGTGGTGGTCTCCAGCCCCTCTCAAGCTCTCAGTGGTCCAGACTAGGAGTCTGGACATTTCCTCCTAAGCTCCTCATCTCCTCTGATACCCATGCCAGAAACTCACTGTCCCACCAACACCCCCCACTGTAGCCAGAGGCACCTGGAAGTCCAGACTTCACTGCTCCCAGACACTCACTTCTCCCCCGTTTCAGCCACACCACCCCTCAGTAGGACATCTGTGGCCTCACTTCACCCTCTTCTGCCTACTGTGCCCCCCTCTAAGCTGCACCAGAGAGAAAAACATCATCACGTTCAAAGCCACGCTTAACACTCACCATGGCATTCTCCTCCCTCAGAACAGTGGCCATGACCTCCAGGACACCTCCCAGTCCCCTGGCCACGCAGCCTCCCCTGCCCTGCTGTCGACACACACACTATTCTCACTCCCCACTCATTCACTCAGCATCTCTCTTCTCAGCTCCTGCTGTGCTTCAAGAGTTGCATGGGTGTGGACAAGACATTAAAAAATTACATTTCAGCAGCAGCAAACAAGCAAGGTAAATAAGGGTCAGACAGTGGATGAGGTGGAGAGAAGGCCAAGGAGAGTGAGGAGGGAAGGGAAGAGGGCTGACAGGGACTCCTCAGACGGAAGGCAACACTCCAGAGGCCGTGATCCTGGGGCACGGCCATCCCAGCCAAGGCTCGAAGGGTGCAGGTCTGAGTATGCAGAGGACTCAAGGAGGCCAGTGTGACTGGGGCAGCCTCCTCAGGCCAGTATGTGTGTGGGGTTGGGGTACGTGGCACAGAGGAAGCTAAAGTGGCCTGATGAGGTGAGGAGAGGAGAGGCTGACAGGCTGGAAGGCAGCTGGGGTGTCCTGTGGCCTCCTCAGAGCCTCCCAGGGCTTGCCTGGTGCCCTGTCTCACTCTGGGGACAGTGCCACAGGATGCCTCCCTTCCTTCCACAATGCAGGGCGTAGGCAAGGCTCAGCCTGTCACAGTGAGCCCCCTGCCACACGAGGGCGCCATTCCACAGCGGGAGATACCAGGAAGGCCCCGAGGGACTGAGCCCTGGGGATCCCGCGATCCCCAGGTCACGATGCCACCCCTATGGAATTCTGTCACTGAAACAAAGGACACGGGGGCCGTTCTGTCAGGCAGAGGAACTCGGTCTCCACTCCACAGCACCAGGACAGAGTGGTGTGTGCCAGTTTGTGTTTGGGGAAAAGTAAATTCTGAAGACTGTGGAGGATGTAAGAGGGAGCAGGACTTGGACGAGAGAAGGCAAGACGTGGCACTTGAGCCCGGGCACGTGTACACACACACACACACACACACACACACACACACACACACGCACGCACTGTTCACATCTTCTCCTTCCCCCATGCTCCTGCAGCTTTGAGGCTCAGGATCATCTGAGCTGCATGGGTAGAATTAACCCTCATGTAGTCAGGGCCCTCAGTGATGGCAGTCACATCCCTGGGGGCAGCTGGACACTCACCGAGGCTGCAGTGTTGATGTAGTAGTTTTTCAGGTTTGCAGACTCGGACATGATGGTTTCGTGAGCTTGTAGGACAGCGGCACTCATGTACAGGATGCCTGTGGTCCCGTGGTACAGGCTGTCCTGGAGATGCAAGCAGAGGCCAGGGCCCTGTCACTGGGGTGAGCACTGTCCTCTCTCACTGCCCAGCAGGAGAGAGTGAGAAAAAGAGGCAAGCCCAGACCCAAACTCCTGCTTTTACTTATGAAGCAAACAATAGTGGATTGATAAATAATCATGTCAGTCAGGCATGATAGTGCTCGCCTGTCACCCCAGCACTCTGGGAGGCTGAGGCAGGAGTATTACAAGCTTGAGCCCAGCCTGGGCAACTTGGGAACTTAGTTCCTTTAGTGAGACCCTGTGTCATTAAAAAAAAAAGGGGGTGGTAGTGGCTGGGGATGTAGCTCAGTGTAAAGGCTGGGGGTTCAATCTCCCCCACACAAAACGAATACCAGCTAGTATTAATTGGATGCTTATTCTGTGCCAAGCACAGTGCAAAGACATTTTCTCATTTAACCTTGTCAACTACAAGGTAGGTTCTACTGTACTTACTATTGGTTTCCTTTTCAAGGAATGGAAGCTTACAGTTAAGGCCAGTGACTAAATGGTTAAGCCAGGACCTGAACCCAGGCCTGAGGAACTCCAGGCCCACATGCTTAACCATTAGCATTATGGAAACTTGCTGCGTGCAGGGGAACTGTCCTAACCATACACATATCTTGTTTAATTTTCACAGCTAACCTCATGGAACTGTGTCCCTGACATCTTGATTGCCAATCTGTTTGGATTAGGAGACTCCTGAAGTTGTGATTGGACAATGGGGGTGCTGTACTGACTGTGAGGAGGTGGGGCACAGTGGAAGAGGTGAGTCATAAGAGAGGGGGGTGCTTTGGAGGTGCTTTTATCTCTTGCTGGGGCTCTTCCCTCATGGTCTGCTCTGGATCGCCATGAAGGGAAAAGCTTTGCTCCATCACACAGTCCGCCATGATGTTTCTGTCTTGGGCCCAGCTGACCATGGACTGAACCAAAATTAAGGCTCTCTTCTAAGTTGTGGGTTTTTGTCTAAGTGATGGGAAAGCTGACCAATATAGTTAGCTTTTATTGTTCTCAATTTATGATGAGGAAATGTAGACTCAGTTAACACTCAAGTTAACAACATGATGTGACAACAGTAAGAAAATTAATGATGTTATATTAAACAAAGGCATCACCTTTCAAGACTGTTTACTGGCTGTAATGGGAATGTATATAAATTTTCCATAAAATTCATGTGGCATATGGAAGAGTGGGCCCATCATAGTGATTGTGACAAGTCCTTAAACTAGAGTGATTTTCTTTGCTACTAACGTTTTCTTCAGTGTTGCTCCAATTATTTGTTTTTCCATGAATAAAATTTAGGAACAACACATCAGAATATTCTGTCTTGCTTTTGAGAGATGGAGTCTTACCATGTTGCCTAGCCTGGCTCTGAACTCCTGGGTTCAAGCAATCCTCCTGCCTCAGCCTCCCAAGTAGCTGGGACTACAAGTACATGACACAACACCACACCTGGCTCCAGAATATACTAAAATCAAAAGACTTCATCTCACAGGGGTGAAGCCCTGGGAGGGTCTCTGGTTTTCTCTCCCCACACAGATGGGCCTGTTGTCCTTCAATACCTAGAGATCAGTCTAGGAGGAGTCACCCCTCTGGTTCTTACCAGCACTCTCCAGGACTCAAATCTTTTGTAAAATCCAAGCAAGTAAGACAAAAAGAACATCAGTGAGATGAGGAAGGAGGTCAGGGAGACGTACATCACCCATCCCTGCAGCAACGGGGTTGCTACCTGTGTGGCAGCTACCAGGACCCAGACCCAGAACCCGAATACCTGTAAGAGAAAAGCACAAAAGAAGAGGTTAATTTGCTTGTTTGGGGCATGTTTCTCTTTGCAAAGTGTCCCTTTTTTCCTCTGTTCTGGTTAAAAGCTCAAATAAAATTAGGAGGAACTAAGAGGGCAATGGGGAAGGAAGGCTGCTCACTGAGTCAGCCCAGGTCGTGCTTGAAAACTCGAGGAGTTTGCACAAAGGTTGCAAAAGGAAGGTTTCTGAGCCAAGTCCTGCTGTGTCATCTTAGCCTAGGCAGTGTTGGTATGGATAGTTTTTAAAAACAATCTGAATAAGTTGCCAATGTTTAAAACAGAATTTTTTACATAAAAAAAATCCAGATTTTTGGTATTTCTAGAGAAATCCATGGTTCTGAACACAATGTACCCATTTTCCAGGCCTGGGTAGGCTGGCTGAGTTGTGACTATCTCTCTGAAAAGGAGCTGCAGTCCTCAGTGGACCACATCCCCCTCCTCGTCAACCCCATGCCATCCTGAAGCAGACTCCCTGTTGGTCACTCACACTGTGGAAGAGTCCTCTCCTTCCCTGCTCCCCTCACCACTGAGTGACTGCTTGTCCCTGTAGGCACTTGGTTTGGAGGCCCTAGGTCACACATAAGCTGATGCTCTGGGGCTAGTTACCAGTTGGGCACTATGGTTCCTGTTTAATCACCTTTCAACTCTGTTCAGTGATTTTTTATACCCATGGTGGAGAAACCAAACCTTTCCCCCATTCTTTCTGGGTTCTGCCTTGGCTTTTAGGTTGGGCTTGTCCCTCTGTTGGTAAGGTCTGGGGTGGAACCTAATAGTAGTACCAGATGGTATCCAGTTAGAGGATTGGAGGGAGAAGGTCCACATGAACACTATGTGGTTTTGTTTTGGTCTATCTCCAACTTTCTGAGCTCTTGGCCTTGCCAGAGCCTTCACTGCAGCTTCCTCAGTTCTCTCTTTAAATCTGTGATTTTCCAGCACCACCTTGGCTGGTGATTTTGAGAACTCAACTCCACTCATTTCTCACACACATCTGCTGACTGGGTATCTCTCCTTGGAAATCCCTCTGCAGAGAATGACTCTGAACTTGCATGGCCCTGAGAATGTCTCATTAAATTTTGCATGCTAGGTGCCTCCTTTGCTTCACCCCAGGCCTGGACCTGCCCCTCAGTCTCTTCAAACTGTACAAGAGCTGAACTCATGTGCCACTTCCAAATTCCTTCAGAACCCATCCTCCTCCACCCCTGCTTAGAATGACTCATCAATGAGAGAGTTATAGGATTGAACATGGAGGTACATACGGTTCTGAAGATAAAAATAATGTTCTATTTGTTACACTTCAAAGATGGTAAAGAGATTTATCTTTTATAAGGCAATCAAAGAATTTTGAAAAAGAAGAAGAGCCTGTTTTCTGTGAGACCACTAGAGATTTGTCATGATGGTGGGGAGCAGGAGATGGGTGGGGCCCAAAGATGACTCCTGAATTTGTGGTCTGGAGGAATCACATTACCAGATTTTAAAACTTTCTATAAAGCTACAGTAATCCAAAGTGTTGCAAGTGCAGGTGATTCATACTTCTGCACATTTCTCAAGAGACAGGCTATCCTCTTGACAGCTTAGCTCCTTTACTAGTTCTGTTGTCTTTCCACGTGAATTTTTTAATGAGCTTGTCAATACACAATATCTTTCTACTGGAATTTTTACTATGTTAAATCTGTAGACCAATTTGTGGAGAATTGACGTCTTCGCTCTGCTTAGTCTTTGAATATGGTATATCTCTTCAATTATGAAGATGTGCTTTGATATTGCTTATCAGTGTTTTGTAAGTTTTTAGCATATGTGGTTGTACACATTTTGTTATATTTATAAATATTTCATCTGGAGGGAACTACTTGTAATAGTGTTGTTTAAAAAATCATTTCCCAATTCTTTGTTGCTAGTAGATAGCAATCTAATTAATTTTAATGTATTGACATTGTGTTCTGCAATATGTTAAATTTACTTATTAGTTGGGGGTTCTGTTGTAGCTTGGTAGGCTTTTGGGGGGATAATGTATCTCATTTGATTCTAACAGCAATTGCTAATGAGACAAAGTATATTTGTATATATTTGGTGACCATTTATATATCCTCTTCTGTAAATTTTTAATTGTTTCTTTTGGTCATGTATTTTTACAGGTTTGTCTTTTTCTTATTGATTCATAGGAATACTTTCCAAGAGTTTGAATATCATTGATTATTATATATGTTTCAGATATATTCTGCTAGCATGTGTCTCACATATTTTATGGTAGCTTTTGACAAAATAAGTCCTTGATTTTAATGTAGTTGAATATATCAATATTTTTCCTTATAGTTCATGCTTTTTATCAAGTTTAAAAAATTCTTTCCTGCCTTGGGTGACAAAGATATTCTTGCATCTCAGATTTTCCTTCTGGGATCATTTTCTTTTTCTCTGAAATACCTCTTAGTGGTGGTTTCTTCAGGTAAAAGGTAAAAAGTAGGTTGGTAGCAGTCAATCTGATTTGTTGGAATATATTATTAATTTTTCCCTGAAAATTATTTTCTCTCAGCACTTCCAAGATATATTCTTACCATGGTCTACATTTTTCCATATTATTCCATTGCCTTTTGGCTTCCATTGTTGCAATTGAGAGGTCAGCTGTCAGGTGAACTGTTGCTGCTTTGTAAGAATCTGTTCTTGGCATCTGGTCATTTTTCAGAGTATTCTCTCTGTCTTTGGTGTTCTACAGTTTATGCACTAGTAATGCTGCATGTTGAGATGTGGATACCTTTTTACTACTCCTGCTTGGTATTTATTTTATATTCAATACCTGAAAATTCTATTACCTTGGTCATAGTAGTTTGATTCTGTAGTTTGTGGCTTCCATTAATTTTCATTCCTCTTCACTTGTTCCCTCCTATGTTTGGTGAATTCTGATTGGAAGCACATATCTGTGGTGATAGCTCAGTTCTGAATGATACTATTAGAGAACTTCTGGACCAAACAACTCTGCTGACTTCTGTCTAGTTCAGCTGTACTATGTTCAGGCTCTTCTTTTCATAATATATTCCTGGCTTTCTAGACTCAGAGTTTTTAGTTTACAACTAACCAGTATGTAGAGACAGTTATGTCACCCTACTCCTTATGAGACTTCTACTGCTATTGTCTTGAGGAAGATGAGCATTTATGCATGTTTTGGAGAATTCATGGGCTCTAAGGACAAAAGAGAAAGAGGAGGTAAGAAGCCAGAACAGAGTAAGAATTTTACAACAAAGTAGAGACTCCTAGGCAAGAAGCACAAATACAGCCCTAATGGGACCAGGAAACACATCCAGAATCCTGGATACCTCTCATAGCACCAGTTCTGGGAGCACATTTCCTCAAGCCTTAACAATCAACCTCCAAATGAATTTGGAAGTCCTAGGCCAGGTCTGGGACTTCCTGAGAGTGAGTGAGGCCAGCCTGTCCTGAGTAGGGCTGCTGAGGATGGGAGCATGCCCTCTGACATCCACTGCACTGGGCTTTTCCATGTTGATCCCTTTGACAGGGGCTGCTGATGCTGACACTGCAGAGAGGTGCCAGGGCTCTGCTTAGAGAACCCCACCAAGTATCCTCCTCACCAAGATATGGGAAGTGCACATGACTGACACCTAAGCAATGCCAGCTGTTAGTGGGAATGCCATTTAGGACTTGTAAAACTAGTGACTGCACAAGGATTTGTAAAATTTTAGATTCATATGCAACCTCTGAGGTCTATGTCATTCACCATTATATTTCTGGTGCCCAGCACAGGGCCTGGAAAAAGAAGCCCAGGGGATGAGGAATGTTAAAGAGTATTCTTTTAAATGAATCCATGATAACATCAGCACTATCTCATATTCACCAGGTTCTTCACAGTTTATAAAATGCACTCATTCAAACTGACTGACTTAGTCCAGTCACAATTTTAATTCCCTTAGAAAGACCAGAGAAATGCCACTTGATCCTTTCTGCTATGTACTGCCAGCCCCCTGTGTCAGGCTTGGGGTCAGCCAGGGTGCCTCAGTTCTCTGTCCCTGTAGTACTTGAAGAGGAATTCCTATCCCCTTCCTGCCATCACAGGATGTCTTGTCCAGATGCTGCCACATGTACATTATTTATTTTTCTGAATTTAAACTTCAGCACAATCTGTGATGAAGGGGCTGGGGCCTGAGAGTGCTGGGATCTTGTTCCCACCCTATGCTCTTACACAGCCAATTTTGCAATTGATTCAAATTGCATGGGACTCTTTTGAAATGGCTCTACTGCTGCATAGTCAAAGTTATGCAGAGGGATGTTATATACTTTTTATTTCTGCACCTGTCTACTTTCTAAACAATAGGAGAGACTAGGGCCATGGACTAATTCCAGGACAATTAAAACCCAGAAGAACGTATTATCTCATTTTGACCTCAAGTAGTCTAGGTTGAGAACTTTGAGTATTTATTTACACTTTAAAAGAACCTCATATTTGGCTTTACCAATTTTCCTGGCAGGCTAGGGTCTCTTCCATTTTAATTCTCACTTTGTATTTCCCAAGAGCAGGAGATATTTTTAGATGATTTGGGCTGGCCCTCAAAATGGAAGACTATTTTATTATAATTAGACATTTAGATCAAGGGTATCTCAAGTACAACCTTGGCAGGATTTTTTTTGGGGGGGGGCAGGATCTTTTTCTTGTGAACAAATACACACCATGTATGTATGCATACATTGTTCAAAAAGCTAGAGTGAAATGTGAAAGAACATTTTAAAGTAGGACCACTTATTCACGGAGAGCAGCTCCCTCAGGTTTAGAGATCTAGTTAAAGAACTAGAATATAAGAGCTGGGGAGAAATGGCTGTTTTCAGGTCTGGGGCAGGGAGGCTGAGCATGGGCACATTACTATGTTGGGTAGTAAGAAATCTTCCAAAGGCTCCTGGGGTCGGACAAAAGGACATAGTAGGCTCCTGCTGGCCAAAGATAGGACAATTTGAGCTTTAAAAAGGAATAATAGCTACAATGGATTAGAATGCATCAGCTAATCTGAAATTCAGGAGTTTGAGGTGATACTTTAAAAAAAAAACTTTCATCCCTTTTGGAATGTTTTGAAAACTGCTTAATAAAGAAAAAGAATCAAAGAAAAATACTGCATGAAAGTAAGGAACTTCTAAAATATGTGGGGGTTCAGTCCCCAGTACAACAAACAAAACAAAAACACATGGATGCCTGAGAATTACCCTCAGGGCAGCGCTCTGAGTCCTGGGAATTCCGGGACCCTCAGGGGACTTTGAGAAAACCCCAAGCCTGGGTTGTGTCCCAGAGATTCTGACTGACCCGATGTGGACAGCTGCCCAGATGGTGCAGTCTGAGTGGAAAGTACTGATTCAGTTTCTCTGCTTCTGCTTTTATCTACCCTGTCCACACACCCTATGGCATCTTCCTTTTAAGCTTGACCCCAGCTTTGTCTGCTGGGCAGGTTATCTGCCTTCCCTATGCCTCTTTGTCCATCAAACAGAAGAGGGAGTCTCCTGGCTCCTCTCTCATCCAGCTCTTCTGAGAATTTGATGAGTCTCTGCCTGGCACTTGGCTAACAATCGTTGGCAGCTGTGAACATTTGAAATGGGCAGAGGACAGGAGGAATGATCCATGAGGAAGACCGAAGGAGGGAATGTCCAAGACCCATCTTCTTCTTTTTTTTTTTAAAACTGTGTATCCTTTTATTGGTACATTTTAGGTGTACCATATAATGACATTCATCACTGGAAATTTGCACCTTTACTTACTCTGTTGGTTCTTATTTTTTCCCCCTTCCCCTTCCCCTTTAACCCCTCCATCCCTCCCTATTTACAGAGATTCTGTTTCCTTTTTTTCATTATCTCATATTCCATTACCTTCTTTCCTATCCCCTACCCCTCCCACTTCCCCTTCCCCTTTGCCCCTTTTACCTTTTACCCCCTATTTTACCTTTTAGTCCTTATTTACACTTTCAGTTTCTCACACTAGAGAAACTATTCGGTATTTACATATGTGTCCTATTTATTTCACTTAAGAGTATCACCTCAATGTGCATCCATTTAGCTATAAATGTCTCTAATTTCTCTTTTTTATGGCTGAGTAGCACTCCATTTTATTAAAAAACCACATTTTTTTGATCCAGTCTCCAGTTGATGGGCACTTGGGTTGTTTCCAAGTTTTAGCTATTACAAACTGTGCTGCTATGAACATGGGTGCACATATATCACTGTGCTATGATTCTTTTAATTCTTTTGGGAAGATACTCACCAAGGAAATAGCTGGGTCAAATGGGACTTCCAGTCCTACTTCCTTGAGGTATCTCCATACTGATTTCCACAGTGGTTGCACCAGTCTACACTCCCACCAGCATTTGTTATTGGTTGATTTCATGATGGCAGCCATTCTTTCTGGGGCGAGGTGGAATCTCAGTGTTGTTTTCCTTTGTATCTCTCGAATAACCAGTAATGTTGAACATTTTCTCATGTTTATTTGCTATTTCTACTTCTTTGTCTGAGAAATGTTTGTTCATTTCAGACGCCCATTTTTGCATTGGGTCTTTAAATTTGGGAGGTCTGATTTTTTTAAGCTCTTTATAGAACTTTATTTATAGTTCTTTATTTTTTTAAGTTCTTTACATAGTTCTTTAAGTAGACCTTTGTCTGAGGGACTGCTGGTGAAAATTTTTTCCCACATGTGGGTTGTCTCTTCACACTGCTGGTGGTTTCTTTTGCTGTGCAGAAGCTTTTTAGAAAGAACAGATCCCACTTGTTGATTGTTTGTGCTAGTTTACAGACAACTTAGGTTTTGTTCATAAAATCTTTTCCTACACCAATGTCTTCAAGAGTTCTACCTAACTTCTGTTCCATCAGGTTCAGTGTTTCTGTTTCAATATTTAGATCTTTAATCCATTTCGATTTTAGTTTAGTGCATGGTGAGAGATATAGAAGATCCATTTTCTTTAGGGATGGGAAGTTCACTTCCAGAAGGAGGGAATGGGAGACCCATCAGCTGGATAGGTGAGACACACACCCTTCTGATGAGTTGATGAAAGCCTTGCTGTCCAAGAAAAATAAACCCATACACATGCATAATTTTCACCTACAAATTTGGGGGTTTACCTCACCCTCAGTATCCATCCATAGCCCTTTATTAAGCCCACTCCCAATCCAGGTTAAATAATTACTGACTGCTCCATTGTTTCAGCAATACTCATGGAAACATTAAATCAGCACATACTGTTCAGCCCAATAATACCACTTTTTGGAATTTGTCCTACAAATGCTGCTCAAGAACAAGGTGAAGAATGTGGAATGTTGCTTATTGTATCCTGTTGATTACAGATAGGAAATGACCCAAGTGTTCGTTCACCCACGCATGGCTAGTTAAATCAATATATCTGCACAGTGGAATTCGCAGCCTTCAGAAAGAACAAGAAAACTCTTTATATCCTCTATGGAACAAGTCCGGAGACCAGCATGCCCCATGTGCTATGGTTTATGTAGAAAAAGGAGAAATGTGTATGTGTGCATTTGTGCCTATGTGTGTTTGTTGGGGATGAGACCCAATAACCCAGTGTCTTGGCTTTGAGGTGAAATGCTTAGCTTGGGGACAAAATTTTCAATGTGGGACCATGTTCGTGTTCAAGCTGATCCAAAGGAAATAGAATTGTAAATTTAAAAAGAAAAAAGAAGGAAACTAGGCTGGGTGATGGAGGCTTGCAAAGAATCTTGAATGGGAAGAGATAAGCAGAGAATCGCCTTCAGGGAGGAGGGCTGCCCACTGGGGCACAGTGGCTGGCGGGGCATGGGCAGGTGAGGGGCAGGTGAAGGACTGGAGAGGGGTTGGTGAAAGGCAGGTGAGGGGCTGGTGAGGGGCTGGGGTGGAGTGACCCTCACATACTGAGAGGTTCTGAAAAGGACACTATCTAAGCGATGATGCCAGAAAGGGCGAGGCAGGTAGGAGGAAGTGGTGTGGGTTCAGGGTGAGGCAGACAAGAAGCTGAGCCCTAGGAGGAACACAGGGTAGGGCACCAGGGGCAGGTTTTTCTGCATAGCTGGATGGTGTTTTCATGTGGCAGGTCTTGCTCCCTGCCAGCACCACATTCCCTTTCTTATTGCTTGTCTTTATTTTCATGACAGCTTTGCGTCTCCTTCCTTCCCCTGGTACTCAAGTGACCAAAAATGCACAGAAACTTCAG